GCTTCCGTTTCCTTCCGTTCCTTCCTTCCCTTCGCCGTGGCTCCCTTCCCTTTCCGCTTCCGTTCTTCGCCTTCCTTCCTTTTCTTTCTTCCTTTCCTTCCCTTTTCTTCCTTTCTTTCTTTCTGTCTCTTTCCTTTTCTTTCTTTCCTTTCTCTCTCTCTTTCTCTCTGTCTCTTTCCTTCTCTCTTCTCCCTTTCCCCTTTTCTTTCCTTTCGGGCCTTCCTTCCTCAGCTTCCTTCCTTCCTTTCCTTCTCTTTCTTTCTTTCGTTTCTTTCTTCTTCTTTTTCTCTCTTCTTTCTTCTCTTTTCTTTCCTTCGTTGCTCCTCTCTTTCTCCTCTTCTCTCATCTTTCTCTCTCTTTTTTTTTTTTCCAAGCCAGAATCCTTCCGAAGGAAGGAAGGAAGGAAGGAAGGAAGGAAGGAAGGAAGGAAGGAAGGAAGGAAGGCAGGCAGGCTATTATTATTGTAGGGGCTCCAGAGATTACGTCCAGTCCCCTTTTAGCCCGTAAGTGAGCCCTTTGCCAGGATCAAGAATCCAAATTGACACCAGATAAATTCATGTGGAAAACGTATAAATCTTATTAGTTTTATGTGTTCATGAGATCTTCATAAGAGTGTGAAGTCTGAATAACTGGCCAAAGCAAGATGCTTGTATACATTTTAGATAAAGAGGGATACATTTAGGGTGAGGTGGGTGGATTGCTTGAGGCCTGGAGTTCTAGATCTGCCCTGGCAACATATCAGGATCCCTGTCTCTACAAAAAAACATTTTTTATTTTTATTTTTATTTTTATTTTTTCCCATATGGAGTTTCGCTCTTCTCGCCCAGGCTGGAGTGCAGTGGTGGGATCTCAGCTCATTGCAACCTTTGCCTCCTGAGTTCAAGCAAGCCTCCAGGCTCAGACTTCCGAGTAGCTACGATTACAGGCATGCAACCACCATACTCGGCTAATTTTTGTATTTTTAGTAGAGACAGGGTTTCACCATGTTGGTCAGGCTAGTCTCGAACTCTTGACCTCAGGTGATCTGCCCGCCTCGGCCTCCCAAAGTGCTGGGATTATAGGCATGAACCACTATGCCCGGCGTAAGAAAAAAACTTTTTTAATTAGCTGGCCAGGGTGGTACGCATCTGTAGTCCCTGCTACTCGGGAGGCTGAGATGAGAAGAATTGCTTGAGCCTAGGAATTTGAGGCTGCAG